TTCATTAATTTTATATCTTTCAACTTAATGAGTATTTGTTATTTAGTGCTGCTATATATATATATATATATATATATTTCCTGCCTTTGAGCTGCTTGTGGTGAAGGGAGCTCAGCTCAGAGTTAAGGAGTCCTTTTCTGTTCCCACTGTTAGCACCTCCCTTCCAGCAATTGTTAGGCTTCCTGTATGTAGGGAAGGGCTATGGAGACAGAAAACACTGTGTCTGCTTACAGAGGTGATTTTGTCTGTGTATTGATGATAAATAGGATTGTATATCATAGGAGTTTGAATTAAAAGAGACCTCAGAAAGTACAATGCTTAACTTTGTGACAACTTGACTGGGCCACAGAGTACCCAGATACTTGGTCAAACATTATTGGGGGTGTTCCTGTGTGGGAGTTTCTGGATGAGATTAACATTTACATTTGGAGGTTGAGTAAACCAGATTGCTCTCCGTAATGTGGGTGGGTGGACCTCATCCAGTCAGTTGAAGGCCTGAATGGAACAAAAGGCTTACCCTCCCCTGAGTAAGAGAGAATTCATCCTGCCTGAACACTTTTGATTTGAGACATCAGCTTTTTTTCTACCTTTAGACTTGAACTAAAACTTTAACTCTTTCTGGCTCTCAAGCCTGCTGGTCTTCAGAATGGAACCATATCATCTGCTCTCCAACTCATTGACTCACCCTGCAGATCTTGGGACTTGCCAGCTTTCATAATCATGTAAGCCAATTCTTCATAATCGATTCTTTGTGTATACACACACACACACACACCTCCTGTTGGTTCTGTTTTTCTGAAGAACCCTGACTAATGCAGAAAGCTTTTCATCCAACTTCTTCATTTTAGAATTGAATCAACTAAGGACCAGAGGTTAGTGACTTGCTCTAACCTAAGAGGTTAGTGACTTGCTCAAGGTCACACAGGAAGTTGGGAATGGATCAGGACCAGAAACAGGACCAAGTCCTTGAATTCCAGATTTAGTGCTTTTGCACGCTGTACCACATGCACAGTACCACAATGGTGTGCACATGTGTGTGCATGCGCACATACACACATTTTTTAAAAATTAAAACAGCCTACATAAATGATAATTTTGTTTTTGTTCTTGACAGGAAAGGTTATTTGAAACTCAAGTAAATCATGGTAAGAAGTCCATCAGGGTTATATGGATAGAATTCATGGCTGGGGGTACAAATAAGGTTGGTGGTATGAAGTTTGAAGAGATGATAGCCATAGTTTTTCAGTAAGAATGGAAAAAGCTTCCCAGGGTTTTGGCTCTGCCTGCAGATCTGGGTCGATGATTCCATGAATAAGCAAATGTGAGGTTTGAGTTGTCTGCTTGGCACATTTTCCTGCTACAGTGCATTCCAATCCATAAGTTTTAGAACCTTGAAAAGCTAAGGGTCACGCTTAGCTGGAGTGAGCTGGAGGTCCCAGAACACAGCCACTGAGACAGGCTCTCATTGCCAAGAGGGAGTGAGAATAGCAATAGCCAGCATTTATTGAGTGCAATGGGCTGGGCACTCTTCTAAGTCTTCTCCAATGGTAACTCTATGGGGAATTGCTGTCATTATTTCCTTTTTTGCACATGGTGAAACTGAGGTAGAGGGAGGTTAGTAAGTGGTGGGTCTGGGATCTAGCTCAGGTGTCTGGCTCCAGAACTTGTGCCCTTAACATCATACTATCCATCATATGTAGAAGCCTGAGTATTTCCTCAGAAAACTCATGAAGTCGTAGGTTCTATTCAAGTATCTGTGCTGAGAAATCTTCTAACCTCCTAACACTATTCCCGAATGAGGGCAAGGAGATCTGCATTAGTCCTAGCTCTGTCACTAATTAGCCCGGCCAGCTTCCATTGGCAAGTCACACAACTACTTCTAGGCATCCATTTCCTCTTATATGAATTATGTTGCTAGGTGAATTCTGACAATCCCTAGGTAAATTCTGACAATCCCATCTAGCTATGAAGCTCTTTTTTTTTAAGATTTTATTTATTTATTCATGAGAGACACAGAGAGATGGGGGCAGAGACATAGGCAGAGGGAGAAGCAGGCTACACGCAGGGATCCTGATATGGGACTCGACCCGCGGACTCCAGGATCACACCCTGAGCCAAAGGCAGATGCTCAACCGCTGAGCCACCCAGGCATCCCTAGCCATGGAGTTCTATGGTCCTACTCACTTTGAGATTATACTTTGAGACTATCATGGTATAGATTCTTATTGTAAGCTTTTTAGTTATAGTCAGGAAATACCTTTAATAATATATACATGATTTACCAATTTGTTAGTAAAAATCTTCAGGGGCATATGTCTTATCCTTTAAATGGTATTTTAACACCATGCACCTTCTAATATTTTCAAATGGGATCAGGAAAGAAAAAAGGATTTCTGAAGGAATTTTTTTTAGGAGACAAGGCTGAGAAGTGCATCAAGGTAAGTGTTCCAAATATACATGGACATGTCAAGAATGGGGAAATACACTGGTTTCATTAATAGAGAGTTCTTGTGCATTAGTTTGCATTAACCATTGTCTAGCGAAAGAACACGGTCTAGGCAGACTTGAAACAGGATTCCAGCTCCAGGTCTGGCACCATCTACACCTGTGATCTTGGTGGTCTCCTTGCTTCCCGGGTCTAAGGATTTAAAGGAAGCTGTTAGTTCAACTAATTTTCTTGTGGGTGTAATAGTGAAGAGATGGGCAAGGCCTCCCCTGAGGGCTCAGTTCTGACCACACCACTAGTGTGGACAATCTAAGGCAATTGCACCGGAAAGGAAGTCTCACTCTTGGCATCTTTCACAGGCTCCATCAGACATTGCTAAAGATAGAAATGCCAAACTTGTATCAAAATAATGTGGAGAGAAGCACAGATGGATGAGTGCGCCTTTCCTTCTACCTGACTTAGAACATGGGATCCAGAAGCTGCCCCACATGTCATACCCAGCAGACAGACTCTAAAGGACCACCCTCAAAAGCTCATGTTTTCCTGAGTGTAATGGAAGGCTACTGTCTCTATGACTGCTTACTATAGAAGCAGGGCTCTCAGAAATAATTCTCAGTTTTTGCTAAATCCTAACAGAGACCCTATTATGTGTGTATTTTGATCCACTTGGCCCTTTGGTGAGGAGGCCACTTTAGATTCCATCTAGTCCTTTCCGAAATTCAATTTAATTCGGTTTTGTTCAGTTCAGTAGAATCTGCCTCTGGGTGTGCCTTCTGAGGGAGGAGAGGTCTGACTTCAGCTTCCCCATTCTGTTCTAGACCTGTGATCTCGGACAAGTTCCATTCCCTAACCATGATCTGTTCTAGCACTTCCCAGTAATACTCTAACCCAAGTCTTTAGCTAATATTACCATATTTTCCTGGTTGGAGAACTAATCAACTAACTGCTCTATGAAACAACAACTCCACAGGTAAAAAAAGAGACAACTATTCCTATTCATGGCTTCTGAGTGTGTGTGCGTATTTCCCAAAACTTCTTCCAAACTTGAATTTGGTAATCCTGAAACACCTTTTTGGTTCTTCTCTGGAGACTCCTGAGTGTTTTTTTTTTATACCAGTGTATTTGGTACCAGACCTACCAACCCCCAAGCGGGCATGAATCCCCCACAGTGATTAGCCCTAACCAATATTTAAGGGCTTAATTTTTTTCTAGTTCTATTTGTTTTGCCCATGCTTCTAATTCATGGTTAGGTTATAACAATGGCTACTATTTAAATTGCTAGAGACCTTATTTTGGGGAAAGAAAAAGCCCTAATGCGTTGTTTATTTGTATCATTATTTTTGTTTTAAAATTATGCCAGGATTTTCTCCCCACACCTTCCTTCATCCTAGGTTTTTGAGGAATAACTAACAGTGAACTTGTCTGTGTAAAACTGCCCTGAGCTATTCTTTAAGTTAATTATCACTTCTTTTGGTTCTGTGAATGGCTGTTCAATGACACTGTCAGCAAGTGGAATGAACCAAATTACTTTAATTATGGAGTAATTGCACAGAGTGATGGTAATTAAATCTTGATCAGTTTAAGTGAGTGAATTAATTGCTTTAACTTGGAATGCACACGGCAGCAAGAGGGGTTGTTTTGTAGTTTAATTAACACCATCCACTAAAGTCTTATCGTATCTAAAATGTAGACAATTAATGAGTTTGATATTATTCTCACCTTCACAAGAACTAGGACAGAATACATGCTGAGAAAGGTACCGTACTCAGGGAATGAAAGAAAACTTAATATTCTTGTCACTTGTATAGATATATTGGTTGCCATCTCTGCCTTCTGGAGAAATGTGCAAATAGAAATATTTCCATATAATTAGCTTCTGGCCCCATTTCATTTCAATATTCCCTGATCTGTGCAACAGTATACATTTCCAAATTTGTTAATGTTTTAAATTTCTACAGCCTGAATTTAACCATTACTTGCTTCCTTTTAGTTTGGAGGAGTCTTGGCCTCGCGAAGGTATGCCTGGGGTCTTCATAAAATCTGATCATTTATAAATCGTCACTTAGTAGTTTTATATTTCTATGCTTTCTATTCCCCAGTACTGGGAAATGCTTTATGTTTTTAGAGGAAGTTTTCTGCCCAGATCTAGACCACCGATACTCAGCATCGACTGCAAATTAAGACCTACAGAACCTTAAAAAATTACCAAGCCCCAGACTTCCTCCAGAATTTTGAGGGTGTAGGATCTAGTCATGAGTATGTTGTAAAAGCTCTTTAGGTGATTCTAATATGCATCACCAATAACAGCATCACTCATTCATTGAGAACCGCTACTTTAGAACATCTGTGTATCCCATCTCTTAACCCTAAGAGAAAGATCGTATTGTCATAATTCCATATAGAGACCCTCTGGTTTGTTTGGTCAGAACCTGAATTCAATCCTCAGACCCTCTGCTGCCATGTCTTAAGAGACAATTCCTCATAAATCTTTTGCAGCTGTACTCTAGAATAAATCTGAGAAGTCCTAGTTTGAAAACGAGAGAAGCAAAGAAGCGAAAGAAATGAGCATGATTTATTTGTCAGTCTTGGACATTGTCTTATTAAGCTCCAAATAAGGAAAAGATGTATTGTTCTAAGCCGCAGGACTGTTAATATGTGCACAGTTGGTTTCAGGGTCATTTCTTAAGTGTCAATGTGTCCTAATGATTAAATAGAATTAGTTGGGGGAATGGCATCTGACTGAGTCATAAGTAAAGTTCTCAAGGTCATACATTGCCAAAGCCACAACTTGAATCTGGTCTTCTCTCATTCCAGTGTCCACAGATGTGAGCCTCTACTTCATGGGATCTGGCTAGAGTTAATCCAAAACAATGGGAACTCGGCCCAAGATGATATGTAGGGTTTGGGAAGTATTCATACATGAGTTGACATGTGAGTTGGATTCTGAAAGTAGGATAGTTTTCTATGTGGAAAAAGAAAAAAGAAGCCAAGGTGCTAAAAGACAGATGTGTGGGAAACTGCATGTGGTCTTGCTCTGACTGCAGGACACAATGTGGAGGACAGAGATAGGTTAAAGCAATGACCCAAAACTATCAATAATCTCAGGCCAAAAGGACAAATTTATTTAGCTCATTGTAGCAACAGAGAATGATCAGCAGAAGGTCCATGGAATAGCTCTGTAATGGAGAGTTAGGAAGGGCTCATTACAGGATTTGGGATCTTGCTGGGTGATTCTAAACAGCATCCAAGAAAATGTAGGCCTGTTCTGTATTGAGGGCCATTACGAGCAGGGGTGATTTGGTAATTGGATGTTTAATCATTTTATCCAGGAGATAGAAGAAACAAAATGGGACTAATATCATCCACAGTGAAGTCTTCCATCTTAACGGGGAGAGGGAGATAGGATAGTCATTTTGTAGTTGCAGAGTATCCTTGTCTCTGTTTCAGATATGGTCGTGAAGTGAAGTTGTCTCATCCTTGCCCTGTGAGCACAGCTTGGCTTCAGTTGGGAATATCACAGGCTAGCTGCCAGTGATGCTTTTTACTTTCTCAAAGGACCAGGTCCTTGATTGCCATTTAAAGAGCTAGGACTTAAAGGTTGAAGGATTTTACAAAGTGGAATGACATAACACAATTTCTGTTTGGGAAAACCCCTCGGGTGGCTATGTAGAAGATGGTTTTGAATGTGGCGAGACTGGATACAGATAAGCCAGTAGCAACAGAGGCAAGAAAACACCCCAGGAATGGGAATGGAAGGGAAGGGACAGTGAAGAGATGCCATAGAGGCAAGCAGGGGAGACTTATGCTACATAACAATTTAAAAAGAAGTGATGATACCAAGTTACTTGGACAAATCAAGCATGCTTCTTGATCTCCAGTGTTTCATTGGGAAAACTGTAAAATTTTAGAGTTTCCTTTTCTTTGAAAACTAAAACCCAGTGTTTACCATGTTCCTGCTGGGCAGATACAATTGCTTAGACAAGTGAAACTTGTCACAGTTCCGGTAATGTCCCTACAAGTACCTTTTTCTTTCTGAGATTGGTAAATTTGCAACATATTCATCTTGGTACAAGTCAGAGCAAAACACCAAGCAAAGAGACTGCTGGTTCCAGGTTCTGTTAGAAGATGGACTCCATCTGTTGGTCTAAGGCCATGAGTCCTGAATCAGCCACCAGGAGCCTGAGAGAAGAAGATAAGAAGGACAGGTGGTAAATATACGGTCAGGTCACCTGGCTCAGACAGTCTCCACCCTTTCCTCACCCCATTCTCCCCCAATGGGCAAAAAAGAGCAAATGGGCTATTCTGGGGAAGCAAGAAATCAGTAGATTGTAATAGAACCCTGGAAATAAGGAGAACAAAAATTTAAAGAGAAAACTTTCTTTAGTATAAGGCAGGAGATTGGCAGTAACTGAACATAAAGGAGAGACCATCTTTTTTTTAAAACAAAGTGCTAATTGTGTTGTCCTACCTTTTTTTTTTAATCCATAAAATTGTCATTTATTGATATAAAAACAGATGCACAGAGAAGACTCTAGGGCTAGTGCAGAAAATGAACCAGACAATGAAATCCAGTAGCAATAAATCATAGAGCATTACAACTATTAATGGCCATAAGTTAAAGGGGGAGAAAGGATAGGAAGAGACCCAAAAGTCTTTTAGTCTTTTTGTTTGTTTTCTTTGGGAGATTGCCACAAATCACTTAATTTTAATCTGTGACAGCACATTTATATAAATAGCTTTGAGCAGAGTGCTTCTTAACATTTACTTCTACTCCATTTAACGTAAATGTTTTGAGGAGCAGACATTGGTTTGAGAGTAACATTTCACAAAACTCAGATGTCTTATTTACCCAGTACTTCTACAAGCCTACCCTGTGGATTAATCTTTTCTAAAACTGTTTTTTTTTTTAAGCCAAATGAAACCCTCAGAAAGTGAGGATTCTATTAGTTCATGACCTTATGTTTTAGTGGAGAAAAAGTAGCTTTGCAACCCATAAAATGTATTAATGTGGGATAGAAATCTTTATCCTTCCACTTACACTAGGTCCAGTCAACAGGATGGATTAGGCCCTAACTAATCTGACATTAGTATTAAAAACAAATATTTAAAAACATATGTATCCATTACTGGAACATTAGGTATGAGGCTTTATTTCTTGGTATTAAGATATATTCTGACCCCAAAAATATTTAGTAGAAATCATGACTATATGTGAAGTTGGGTTGGGGATACAGATTATGACTTATATCACCTTCTCAAGTAAAGATTGATGGCCATTTAAGAACTGATTAGTGAAAAAAAAAAAAAAAGAACTGATTAGTGAGATAGCAGATTAAAAAGAAGGTACCTCGGGGTGCCTGGGTGGCTCAGTCAGTTCAGCACCTGCCTCTTTGTTATGGCTCAGGTCATGATCTCAGGCTTGATGAGATGGAGTCCTGAATTGACCCCATGCTCACTGGGGAGTCTTCTGGAAGATGCTTTCCCTCTGCCCCTCCCCTCTATCTAAATCTTTAAAAAAATTAGAAGAAGGTACCTTGTGACATATTTTGCTGCTCTGCCTTAAACTGTCCAACTGCAGTGTTGAAGGATATCTGCCATAAGCAAACCATGTTAGTGTTCAGATCTCATGACTAAATGGTGCTGTAATTAGCACAAAAGTCATGTCAAAGTCTCCAAAAACCATGAACAGTTCAATTATCAACAAATTGGGAGTAGCATTACATATGTAGTTAATTTATTTTCTAAAACTACAATTTTACATATTTCAAAATGTATCTCATTTCTGTCCAATTGCCTAGGTTTTTCCAACACCTAATTATTACTTATTTCTTCAACACATTTTATTTTGAGCTGCTGCCACTTGTTTTCATTCTGACAAAACCCATGGGGTATATAGATGCATAGTACTTTGTTCCTGCTCTCATGGAACTTAAAATCTACACGAAGAATCATTAAAGGTTAAATGGTGGCATATTAAAATAACACAAAGTCAATTATCTAAGCCACAATATATTGCTCAAGTAGAATAGATCATGTAAGTGCTCTCTGCTTATGGCAGGCAGGAAATTATTGTTGGGTTGGAGTAGTTAGTTGAAACTTTATGAGGAAATGGATATAAAACTGGCTTGTGAAAGATGGATAGGGGCCAGGGAGTGCTAAAATTCCCCAGTTCTTGGGCTGGAGAGCGTGATTTGTAGTTTTTGCAATTTCCAAAAATACCCTCATTGTGGCTGATTTGAAGCTACCAACCTAACATCATTGATCATGAGATGAGAGAGAGACATTCACAATTGGCTCTTGTGAGCCAGTACCGGCTGACTCCAACACCACTGAATGGGAGATTTTTAAGTGGTGAAGATGCATTCAGTTCAATAGTGTTTTGAAAAAAAAGAAAGGATAAAGAAAGGATGGCGTGGTTTTAGGTCCTTCTCAAAGCAAAACAGCATTTTGCCTTATCTCTCCACCCTCCCCTCTACCATCAATCCCAAATTCAAGCTCAGTCCTAATTATAAATCAATTACCTTTGAAAACTACATTCAGGACCCTTCCTATTAAGAGTGACAATGGTGATCTAGCATCATCAGTGCCTTTGAGATGCTGTCCCCACAGGTGATGAGAGTCTCAGCCTGATCAATTTATCCCTTCTTTCTCAGCATCTCTTATGAGCAGGACACACATTTGCCAGATGATGGGCCCAGATTAGAAGCACAGGCTGTGTTCCCAGAACAGATCAAAGTTACATACAAGCACAGAATTATGGGATTTAAAACTTGGTAAAACTTGGCTGATTTGCTCTCTCTCAGCTATACGTTTGAAGTGTTCAGTGGGGACCCCAAGTCCTGATCTCATCGCTCAAGAAATGTTAAAATGCCTCTGGTGATTCTGACTTTAATTCACCATGACTGCTGAAACAGGAGCTTTGGAAACGAAAGCAGTAGCAAATCTCCTGTGTGAGATCAGAGCTCTAAGGGGGACATTTTGTGGCAGCTTCCTTGGATATGAGTGTGGATCTAAAGAAATTAATGGGACTTCAGTATTTCTAACAATTTTTCCAAGTGCAGATGTGTGACTGAGGGGGGAGAAAAGATTGTTTGCCCATTCGTTTATTCATTCATTCAGCCATAAAAAGATGAAAATAGACCTCATTCTTCTTGCTTCAATCCTTGCCTCCTTTTTCTTTCTCTCTTTTATTTTCTCTCCCACCTCCTTTTTTGACTACTTCCCCTCCCATAAAACTTGATTAATGGACAACCTCCAAACTTACAAAAACAGCTTTTGGAGGAACTGTTCTGACAGTACCTGGAATGAGACTGATCCTGGGATCTCCAGCAAGAGTCATGAAAACCCAGAGCAATCTCCAACTATCTACTGCAAGGCAAATCTTGTAGCAGTTAGAGGTAAAAAAATTATAACCTGGGCCAGACCTAAAGGTCTTTCTCAACTGAGAAGATCCCAAACTGCATCATCTGGACTGTTAATGTGTCTTCAGATCCAGATTTGCATCAGCTGAATAAAGAAATTAACCTCTATTAGAAATACTTGAACAATTTCTTTTGCCCTGACACAACAAATAGTTATTGAGCATTTTCCCTGGCCCAACACTAATCCCGTTGCTTTGGGGATATCAGTGAACAGTACAGAGAAAAGACCCCTGCCCTCGTGGAGTCTGCATTCCAACCATCCATTAAACCATAGGCTGACAGATTTGAGATATGGAGCAGCAGGCTCATTTAGGGGAGTCATAAACATAAAGGCTGAAGGCGGAAGTTTAGGATTCTAGACCCACTGTCCATTCCTCAAATATTGTGTCCATAATCCCCTCTCTGATGTCCCATTTTCATTCTAAATTAGAAATTGACCTTTTATCAAATACTGCACTTTCCAGAAAGGACCCCCAAAGTACCAGGCACTTAGGAACCATATGAAGTGGGAGATTTAAAATACAAATCTTAACTTATTTGACAGAAGAAATGGAAGTTCAAATGCTTATTGATTTCTTGGAGAGTGTATAGAAAGCACCCAGCTCAATGTTTTGTAAGAATTACTTAGGCAATAAAGGACCACTACCAGGATAGTCTTTTATTGTCTAGAATTTCTCATGCACAGTGATAATAAAAATGGACTTACTTTTCATTGATTTTATTGTTTTTAGACTCGCTTCAGACAGTGTACCTCCATCTTGCCTGTACCCTGGGCTGACCATCCTGGTCAGCCTCCACCCTTGGGACACCACAGTTCTTTCTTCAAACATTTTCTTAGATTCATCTCATGTATAGAGTCTTTTTTTTTTTTTTAGCAGGGTCTTTTTTTTTTTTTAATTTATGATAGTCACACAGAGAGAGAGAAAGAGAGGCAGAGACACAGGCAGAGGGAGAAGCAGGCTCCATGCACCGGGAGCCCGATGTGAGATTCGATCCCGGGTCTCCAGGATCGTGCCCTGGGCCAAAGGCAGGCGCTAAACCGCTGTGCCACCCAGGGATCCCTATAGAGTCTTTTTGACCAGCCTATGTCAAGGTTGATCTCCTATGGCCATTATAATCCGTTTCTCCTAATTAGGCCTTATTTAAATGCAACCTGGAGTGTGTGAATTACTCCTTCCTGCATATCCTGTATCTTCTCAGACTTAACATAAGGGCAGGACTGGGTCTGGCATCCCTCACCCACCAAATGATAGGTGTGCAGTAATTGTTTATCAGTTGGTAGCAGAGGATGTGGATGGCTGTGTGCAAACCACCATCCCCCATGGGCCTGGTTCCTCTCATGGTAGGGAAGCACATCAGTGTCCCGGCTGGGCCCCAGTTGTTCTTCCTGCAGAGACCCAGTTATGTCTTATGACCCAGGGCAGCAGGCCCAGTGGGGGAAGAGATTGCAAGCCTGGGCGCTGACCTAGTAGCAACATTCCAGGAATAAAGGGCAGTACACTGCTCAAGTACAAGGTAGGGACTTATCTCGAGTCAGAAAGAGAAAAAGAAGGCAGGTAAATCTTTGTGAAACCTTGAGGCCCAAGCAATACTGCCCGGAAGCCAGTAACACAATGTGTCTCCCAAAGGGTAGGACTCTGCCCAACTTTGCCACAAATCCCTATGCAGGCTCCAGACATGGTAGGAGCTCCGCGAAAGAGCAATGTGACGGGGAAAAACCAGCAGCGTCGGAAAAAAGCAGTGGTGCCTGGCAGAGGC